AAAACAAGAAAAAGAAATTGTTTATATTTATGGTGATATGGGAACAATAATGCCATTAGGTTTTGATGTTATGAAATCGATTATTAAAGATTTTAATACACATAAAGATGAACAAGCAAATTATGTTGTTCATGTTGGTGATATAGCTTATGCTGGAACGGGACATGAAAAAGAAATTCAAACAATATGGGATTTATTTATGAATCAAATATCTCCTATATCAAGTCAAATTCCATATATGACAGCAACTGGTAATCATGAAAAATATTATAATTATACAAGTTATAAAACAAGATTTTTTATGCCATCAAAAACGAAACCAACTTCATTAGAAATTGATGGAAATTTTTATTTTAGTTTAGAAACAAATTTAGTTCAATGGATTTTTTTATCAACTGAACATAATTATACTAATGGTTCTTCACAAAGAAAATTTCTTGAATATATTCTTCAACAATATGAACAAAAATGGAAAATGAAAGAAAGACCATGGCTTATTTTAGTTGGACATCGACCTATGTATTCATCAGATCAAGCAACTGATTCAGGTAATTTACAATCAGAACTTGAACCATTAATTATTAAATATGGTGTTGATCTTGCTATTTGGGGACATATGCATTGTTATGAAAGAACAACACCTGTTAAATATAATAATTTTACTGATAAAGATCATTTTTCATCTGATGGAAAAATTTATAAACATAATGCAACAGAATTTGATCAAACAAGTCCAATTCATTTAACCATTGGAACAGCTGGAGCATTAGTTCATGAAAATTGGATACCAAAACCTGAATGGTCTCAAACAAGATATCAAAAATATGGTTTTGGAAAACTTTTTATTCATAATAAAACAAATTTAGAATTTAAATCAATTTTAACTGATAAAACTTCTTCGGATGATGAAGATAATTTTATGATTATTCGACAATTTTAATTTTAATAAAATTGTTATGAACAGTTCTATATTTCTTTTATACTTATTAAAAATTCTCAATTAAGTCGAGTTTTAATTATATAATATTGTTGAGAATACTCGTTTTAAAATTTGTATTAGACATTTGATTACCGTAAGGACATAGAACATAGTGAATAAAGAAAATTAAATATGCCTAGGAATAGATTTTATCTGATCGGATTAGAAAATTGTTTATAGAAGTCTAATTTTCTTTCTTTGTTAATTCAAAAAAATATTGAAAAAGAAGTTCTTGAGACTGTGGGTATGTCAATGTTTGTCTTCTTTTACTTCATACTCACAC